TTTATTGTTAAAACTCAAGATATGAAGTCCAGTTTTCCTTACTGTTACCATATTAATGGTAACAGGAATGACAGTAACAGGATGGACATTTCTCATATAAATCACCGGTTATTTAGTATAACGTACTCTTTTTGCATCATCAAGACATTGAAACAGTTTCTTTGTAACTTAGTAAATCTGATTGTTTTAGCAGAATAAACAATTTAAAGAGTATTTGCATATTATGAAGGTAACAGATAGGACATATTTTCATTATACTCTACCAATAAGACAAACTTATCGACCTTTGAACCCTTTCTTTACTCACTTTCAAATCATGGCGCTCATAAACTTGAGACAACAGAAAATGATGATATATTGTGGATCATGAAAACAGTTCCTAGGAAAGTGAGATAACTTTTATTTTAACATTTTCTTTCTGATAACAGGAATGACATAAACTGGTGGGACATGTCACTTCCTGAATGTTAAATGCACGATACTAGTATTTAGTGGGCGGCATAAGTAAAACAATCATATTAAATTAATCTGTAAATGAATTCAATTAAAATGAGGTGCAAAATTTGTACATATCTTCACAGGGTAATATTTTCCCTATCATTTAAATAAGCGCGTTATAAAATTTTTGTTAATGTGACATGGTTTTACTGTTAAATTTTACTCGAAATGCAGAGAATATTTTTTATAAAACACCTGGGAGATGATCATAAAATTACTTATAAGCTATATGACCATGTATATTAACCAACGGGAAAAAAAATTTCACTCTAAAAAATGTTTTCCTATTATTCTGATCAAAAGACAAAAAAGTGGACTTTTTTTGAAAATGGCCCGTATATAGTGATAAACATATGTATTTTTTTCAAAATTTATAAGCATTGACGCCATGTTCTTTTCCCGTTGTCATAGCAACAATATCACTACAGAAATTTTGTTTTTTCCTATTTTTTAAGAATAAAGTAATTCCATCTTTCAACAAATAAAGTAACCAAAATACGTTATCTTATCACGTTCAGGGATACCAGTCCCTTCATACGTTCAAAAAAAATTTTTAATTGTGTTTTAGCATTAGGTAGGACAAAATCTTTTATATAACAAAAGCTTTTGAAAAAATAAGATTTTGACTTTCCATTCAATGCTCGATGCTTGCTGATTTTGACTCTTAATATCTTTTAACCGAGTGATAAATTCTGCTCTATACCTCTCACATTACCTGGAAAAGAAAGTAAGAAAAATCATTTAAATGACATAATGTTTAGAATGTTAGTTTATTAAGTTATATGATATATTATGTTTCAACATAAGTACTATTAATCACACTAGCATGCAGGATCAATTTCAATTTAAGGAAATTATTTGATATTATTCTGTCGCCGCAGAGTGAATGATTTAATAGTTTTGCTTTTAGATCCTTAAGTATGCCACAAGAGTATGTTAAAAATCTTTATTTTATGAGATTGAATATGGTTCATCTTATATTCAAACTGGTAAAGAAAAACATTCTTGTGTTGCTAAATAAAAATCCTCAGCAGATATTGTACTAAGAATGTTTATTTATATTACGTGAGGTACTTACTTGATGAATTTCTCTCATGAAAACATATCCCTGTTGTAGCATTACACTTGTCACACTCACACTTTTCTTGACATTTAAGGCCATAATATCCTTCAGGACACGGTTTGCTGCATTCTGATCCAAATGACCCTATGCATGCTTAGTAAAAGCCAAATAATGAACATTTCTTTCTTTTATACCAGGTATATGGAATAAGAAAATGCATTTCATTAAGCAAGATTAAAAAGCATAGATACGAGAGATTCAAACGCGTTCTTGGTAATGACTGATTGTATATTGTTTATTGCTCCTCTCGAGAATTTTTCACTTATATGCCGGTGGAGAGCTGCAAACTTTATCCAATGCTCGGCACTCAGGGCCATCGAGCAGGGAGGGATCTTTTTCATTTCAGTATCTTTTGCGACACGGGACCTCGGTTCAAACTATCTCAACCAAAGGACCGGTCTCCATGTCTCAAGTGGGATTCTAACCCACGGCACAAGGATCAACTCCTTACTTCACGACTTTAGGCCAGGCGCTTTCACCACTTCGCCACGCGAAAGATTCTTGGTAATGAATAATTGTATAAGTTAAAATCACTTTAGTCAAAACTTAAACCAAGATTGTCATTTTATAACAGTTATTTACAAGTTTCTTGAAGATACCTTTAAACACATATTGAATATGTATTTTAAGTTAAACTACAACTTACGGTAACATTTTCCTCCATTGGTTCTATACGAGGTACAACATCGCAAATTCCTTATAAAGTACAAGTTATTATTTTAGCATGTGACTTAATTGCATAAAGCAGAAAATGAACCTTAAACACATTTTTATAATTTTTTGACATATACTTACTCAGAAAAAAGATTAGAATCGCTACACTTCGGTTCTAAAGACATTACACCTAACTTTTTGGCATTATGTACCAAGGGGATTGTCATTATGACTTTATAAAGATCCATTTTCTCCGAATTTGATTTAGATGAGTAGATAAAAGTTGACTTCCTGATAAACTTTCCTCACTTTGAATACATAGTTTATTTTTATTTCTAAAAATACAATCAATATTATGTATGATTGCACTGAACAGATCTACAACAGGGAAAAGTTTATATAGACAAGGAAACTGATATCTTATACCATCTCAAAGAATGCAGCATTTTAAAAATTGAACTTTAGTACATTTGTAAAAGTACTTTTACTTCATATCAGACTAACATGGAACTTTCCCCCCTCTACCCCATCGATAGAAAAAGACCACTGTAGTTGCGACCTGTAAAATCAGTTTCATAGTTGAAAGGTAACGATTACAAAAAACGCATTTCCTTTTTAATTTTGGTGGGAAAATGGTAAAATTTTCGAAATACAGAGACGTGTTCAACAGAGCGAACGTTTGCGAGCGTTTGCCAAAATTTCTTACACCTTCAATATAAATATTCGCGAGCACTTGCTCTGTTGAACAGGCCTTAAATGTAGTTCAAAGTGTATTTCAACCACTAGAAAATGAGGATCTCCAGTTTATTGACTTTTGAGCTTGAATACTGTTCGTTATCTCCATATCTTTCGTACTTCACATGTTTGTTTTGACCTAATACCCTTTCTTTTATCTACATAAAAGACAAAACCTTTAACTTGGACCATAATTTCTGAACAGTTTAGTGTCTGGAGCCTTTATCTTTCACAGATGTATCTCTGGTGACAAGATCTTTTTTTGGGATACAAACATTTCTGTCCTTTGACATATTACCTCAGAGTTTTACTTACTTTGAAACCATTAACCTTGCTTAAAACTTAAGAAAAGTTGATGCTTTGACGCCTATGTTTCACATGTGCATTTTTTATGAAAGGGCCGTCCCCTGGGTACCTTTTTTGAGTATTTGACATTGATCTTGAGAGTTTGATTCATGATTTAAAATGTTTAATCTTTATCATTCATATTAAATAGTTGGCGCTTGGAAGTCATATTTCACAATTATCAAAGACCTATATATAATAAACAAATGCTAAGTATTTAAGTTTAATGTTTTATTCGAGTTGGCAGGTATTGTCCACAGTGGTCTACACAACAGTGGGGCAGCCGGCAAAATGGCATACCCCCAACATCAACATAAGTTGTGCCCTCCCTGACGGGAAAAGTAGCACGCTGGGTTGACCTCATTCGTGCTACGGACACATTTCAACACAAATTGTCTTTTAATTATATTATTTTGCTTTAGATTTACATTATATAAGATATAATTTTCAAAGTCAACATCACATATATCAACATCAATCATCACTTATATCAACATCAACCACAAAAAGTCAACAAAATCAACAGTTCAATGGTTAAATTGAAGGTGACGATTTCGCCAATACGACCACTGTGAAGTATAGTCTACTGTCTTTCCCCGAACTCCTTGAAATCATGGATAAATCGCCAAGTTGACACCTGTCACGCATGGTATTTGGTCAGAGATCATTCCAAAGGTCCTAGAAAACGGAAATAGCGGGCAATCCTGATCAGCACCGTCAGTCTCCTTCAACGAAATCTCTTAATACCTGAAAAGACAAAAACAAAACCACACAGCAGAAAAAGATTCTCAATAAAATTTCCATAACTTTAATAAATTGGCTATACCTAACCCATGAAAAACAATGTATACGTAAATTAAACAAACAAAAGGAGAAAGAGTAATACTTAACACCTAGCTCAAGGGTTGAGGTGGGAGGGTATTTCATAATACAGAAAAATAAATCGGATACTTTCATCACCCACCTTTCACTTTCATTGATGCATAGAAAAGGGGAGATAACCCGTAAACCTAGTAACTACGTACTGACACTGCATGGATGGATAAATAAATTCCGGCTTATCTCATTTATTAATTTTTCACAAAAAGGAGGTGAATGATGACATATAATCAAAGGATATATAGAGCTTAGATAACGACGCATATTATGAGATGAACTCAAATATGCGGTAGTATAATTATTGGGTAAGAACATCAATATTTTCATCTCTTGACTTTGGAGTTTGACTTTCATATGAAAAACTTCAACCTTCGCCAAAAGCTGCCATAAGGGGGCATCAGTGTTTCACAAACACATCTTGATTTCATTAGTATCATGATTATACTACTTTTATTTAGTGCCCTTTTAAATTTTTCAAGTTACCAAAAGCGCTTAATATGTAAAAAAAGTACAATATCACACGAAGAACATAGAAAAAAAATCAAAAGACATAAAACAAATTTGCAACTTTATACGTATCTACATACCCCGTCAGGTATAAAATACTCTGTCAAGTTTTTAATGAAAGAGAAACCGCGGAGTGAAAGTTGTGTTTGCCAATGTAATGAGATCTGCTTATTGAATATCACTCACAATAGGGAGAGGTCAGACCTTAGCATAATATATTGTATTCAATTAAAATATACCAGTGTGTATGAGGAAGTTACAATACGGTACAATGACGTGCATAAAAATGTATTTCATAGGATTGTTCATATCAGTCTCTTTTTTGCTGATAAGAATTACTTCTAAAGATTTAAAGCCAGTGGATCCACTTTGCGCAAAACCACAGTAGGTGCTTAATTTTACTTCTTACAGAAGAAATGCTTCCATACATCTTGATCTGTAAGAAAACATGCTAATAAGATATGTCGTTGTTTAAATAAAGAGGAAAATAACTCATTTCAAATATTCATATTCAAATATTTTTTTGAATAATGAATTAATTTTTATAACACTGAATAAATTTCAGAGGACACACTCGATGTTGTGCTGGATATAGAACAATAATTGATAAGTGTTACCGTGAGTTATTTTTTCTTCTATCCGAAAGCATGGTTTTAAGAGCATTTTTTGCTTCCTTGTATCCCATGAATACATCATGAATTTGTCTAGACCTATTAAAAAAAAATGATATAATTGTTTTGATGTAAATGCTAAACGATTAAGTATTTAAACTGAAGCATTGTTTGTTCAGCATGCAATGGATCATTTGGAATTGAATGCAGCAATACATGTCCAGCGGGATATTTTGGAAATAAATGCGAAGAAAAGTGTATTTGTGACAGATGTGATGCAAGAACGGGGGAATGTTACAATGAAACCACATCAATCAGTATGTGAATATGATTAAAAGTATAAATATATTTTAAAAAATACTTTCTAGATATCCATAAATAACATTGTATCATAATAATGATTGAGTAGAATTAATTTTAATGTCAACTAACTGAATGATAAAAGTGTTACCACCTCCCACCCTAAACAAACATAAGATCCTTAGTTTACAAAGCTTAAAGTGTAAATAATGGTCTAACAATCAGTATGAAAAAAGACATTTAGCATTTGACTTTGTGATAAATTCTATTTGCTGACAAGGTCATTAAATCAAGTTAATATAATTATTAAATTATTCTCACCATTATTGTCAATGTGACAAGGTTATTATACTGACTGACGTTTTTAATATTAATTTTTAGTCTTTTGTTTATACACTGAGTTGACAAAAGACTTTCCCCTTATTTACCGATCATGACAAGAAGCACACGGCGGGTGTGACCGGTCTGCACAGGATACTCATTCCTCCATGGCATCTGATCCAACCTCTGATGATTTGGAGGTCTGTGTTTGCTCTGCTCTTATTTTGTATCCTTTATGGACTTTTGATCTTGAATACTGTTCGTTATCTCATTAGATATTTAAACTCATTATGCAGGTGACAAAGGTATATTGTTGCATATAAGGAAGGGAGGTTGACGATTGAAAAGTTAAAATCAAACAAACAAATAAGCAAAAGAAACATTGAATATAGAATTAACATGTATGACTAACCGGTTGTGGATTTGTAAGGGAAAATGAGTAGTAATTTCAGATTAACAACCTTTATATTAATAGAAGGGAAGTCATGAATAAGAAGTGCTATAAATTGGATTTGATTTAGGAATTATCCAATTATTGATATTTTGCTTTTTAATCAGAAATAATGATTTTCAAACAATCATATAAGATCTTTGCCGAAGAAAATGAAAAAGTTATAAAAAGAAAAACATGAAATCGTCAAAAGCATTATTAAAAATTGGACTGTTTTTAAACCAGGAAAGAAGTATGCCTTATTTTGATTATAATATAAAGATAAATTTTATTGAAAGTACTAGTAAGTGATAAGTTTCTGATTATAGTTAGGAAGATTGCCATTTATACGTGTTTACATCCTCAATTTTTATTTCAAATTATCTAATCATTAGATAATAGCCAAAATGGAAAGGATAAGGAAAGGATATTGATTCCATGGACAGGGATCCTACTAGGGCTATTGGGAAGTATAGGATCCGTTGCTGTTCTTTTCTCAGTTCTTTTTCTTAAGGAAAGGTGAATATGAATATGAAAATGAGAACACAATAAACTCATAACTCAACTGGATATTTATATACATATTGTTCTAAAAATCATATCAAGTTACAGGTAGGTACAGCGAGAGAAAAAATCCTTACAGGAAACAATATCTAATGGGATTGAAAGAACAAACGAACAATTAATACACAACTTATAATGTATCGAATAAATTCACATTTCAAAAGAAAGTAGTTTATATTGAAAGTTATATATTTTTTAAATGTTATAATTTTTACATCTTTGTCAGAGAGAAACTTCTACGAAGAAAGGCTAAACAAGATGGTAAGTAACATCATATGTATGAAATGCATATCATGCAACCAATTTTGATGAGATACACACAATACTTTTATTTACATGTATGCAACAGAAGACACAGAAGGGAACGAATATACAGACCATGGATTAGAAGAAGACAATTATGCCAGTGTAAGAGAGTCTCGAATGGTTTTGGACGAAGGAGGGGCTTGTGGTGGACTAAATATGTGTAAAGCATTGGAAGATGATTATAAAGAAAAGACCTGGACAATGCTTAACCCGTATGATGGATTAAGTTTCAACATATCATAGAACTGGGACGAAATATTTTAGAAATAATGAAAAACACAGTACTTCTTAGAAGACCTGAATTATTGGTCGATAGATTGTATGTTGTTTTAAGTCTCATTTTTGTCGACTTGGAGCAATTGCGGTCGCGTTTGGAACAATTGACATTCTGATTACGAAATAAACTTGACACACGAAGGTTGCATCTGACGAAAAGTACTCTTTTGAATTTAGTGATTTAGAATAGAGCGATTAGACACACAAGCATTTACAATGGTTGCTTATACTTATCTAAATGAAGTAGATTTAATGATAGATTGTATTTAGTTACACGATCCTTGCATCGACCATATTATTTGCAAAATGTGGATTTTAAATAAAATTGTTGAAACCATTGTTCTATCAATTTATTTTGTCAATGGCTTGCCGTATTTTAGAAATTGTTTGTGCGTCGATCATGTTTAGCATATTAAGTCAAATGTAGATATAAACTTCATACGCAGGTGATAACTGTATAATGCTATCAAAATAAGGGAGAAAATTGTTTGTTTCTGGTAAAAATTTAAAAACAAAAAAAGAGTCTATATTTTTAACTGTAAAGTCCTAACTGAAAAAATTTAATTAATAAAAAGCTAAAATTGTTTCAAAAATGATTTCAGGAAGTGCTATTAACGGTCATGTGATTTCAGTATGTAACGGAATAATATGGACAGATATAGGAAGATTATCGAAAATATAATTAATTTCCCATTCTATCAAGTGTTTAACGATTTTCAAAGTAATTTGTGTAAAAGTGAATTATTGCAATACTGTATAAAGTGTAATTATTTGTAAACCAAAAGAATAAATATCAACAAATTTTATATACATTACTATACGATTTATAGACATTTTGAAAACCGTTAAATCAGATAAGAGAACAAATTAAAGTAATATTGAAATAGCTTTTTTTTAAAGAAATATTTCTTTCGAACAAAAAGAATTGATCATTGTTAATAAGGTTTCTTAATTAAGACATCAAAGAGCTATGACTACTCAGAAAATAATGATTAAAGAACAAGGTTCACGTTTGCCTTTTTGGCCCTGTGAATTTCTGAAAACCTAAAACTGCTTAGGTTTAGTTAACAAAGCATTGGATATCACTCAGATCTTTGGTGATTGCATATTTATCAAAAATGACGTAATTTTCTGGTTTGTCAATGCATTGTGACGTCACGAAATGCGTCAATTTCCTCATATTCTAAAAAAGTCAACAGAAACGGCCTATTGTTAAAGGTACTTCTTTTCAATATTTGTTATAGAGTAGCTGCAATAATGTAGCCCTTTCCGATTTTTTTTTTTTGGGGAGAGGGCTACAACTCCTTAGGATCTCTATAATGGCGCAGATGCGGCAGTGGATCACTCCCGCACGGATTTCGGCTCAAATTATCAGTAAACGGCTATTTTATTATTATCTCTTACCTGGAATCCAAATATGTAATTATGCAAAACATAAATCGATCCAAAAATATTCACAACGACCCATTAGCGGTTATTTTTCGTGTGTCAACAGCTTAACTTGAATTTATCCGCCATGTTTACTGACCTTGATGGATTGTATTTTGGGACAGCCAATGAGAATTTAGGTTCTATAGGAGCGGATCTACTACGAATTCCCTTATTTTAAGCATACGTATCGCTGTTTGCGCAAAAATAACACTTGAAATGGTTTTATTTATCGATGTTTTTGTAATATATTATAGCACAATCGTTTATAAACATCGATATTTGCTTTATTTGGTTGTTCCAAATTTCAAGCGAAAGTCTCACTACGTCACGCGTGAACTGTCATGGCTGCTGAATATTGCAGCTGGGAAAGACACAGATTTATTTTACATGGTTTTCGAGTTTAACAGGCTATGTTGTTGACAGTGAATAAAAATTCCGTCTTATAAGAAGTAAGTTTAATGTAAAAATAATTCATTTTGCCTCCAACCACCCATATCAAAAAAAATATATTTACACCATTACGGAGATGCGATGGAATTGTAGCCCTCTCCAGAAAACATCAGATAAAAAAAATCGGAGAGGGCTACATTATTGCAGCTAGTTATAGAGCGCAACCTCTGATCTAAAGTATTCAACTAGTAAATGATAGATCTGTTTCTGAGGATTTAAAGACATACTCAAACATACCTATTTACGTCCATAAAAAACTGGCTTTTTAAAATTGCAATGTTCTTGAATTATATATAATTCAAGAACATTGCAATTTTAAAAAGCCAGTTCTCCCAGACCTGGACCTTTATGAGAAAATTTTTAATTAGAAATGAAAGCACTAAGTCTTTATTCTATTTTAATACTTCAAATGGAACATCAAGTGTTAATCTATCAATAACATGAACGAAGCTTTTTTCACAATGACTAAAGACTGATTGATTGCATACTGATAGTTTTTCATTCATATGGAGATGTCATCATTTGCCGGTGAAGGGCTTCAAATTGAGACCTCTAGTCGGCACTGAGGGCCATTGAGCGGTGAGGGTTCTTTTTCGTGCCAACGCCTACCGTGACACGGGACCTACGTTTTTAAGATCATATTTGAAAGACCTGTAACTTTCACTTCTAGAGCCGAGCGCTTGGCGAAGGATTAGTCACTACCTATGTTTACGTCTTAGGTTTGACGCAGTGCCGCGATCGAGAATTGAACCCGGGCCTTTTTTTTCTTATGAATTTCAGAATGATATATTTTACTTTTTAAACATTCTAACAATTGCTTTGCTGTTATTAAAATAAATTATTTCTTGTACATTTACACATTTAATTAATAAAATATATCATTGATTAGTAATTTACGATATATCAAGGCTCAAAATCTTTTAAAAAGTTCTATATAACGGTTTCATTAGTGAATCAAGTATTTAACAGGTAGGAGAGAATACTCGAAATCGGATATTATCCGTGAAATCGCGTATAATACCCGATATTAGGGTATCGTTGAATCCGCGAAATCGGGTATAGGAGGTGTAATCACCTTATAAAACTTAAACAATGGGATGGCGCATGTTGCCGAGTTAACTTTCATCTAGATACACATGTTTTCTAAAGGTATCACTGGCCAAGTAAGAATTTGGGCGTCAGGATTAATGCGCTCAGGACAACAAATACCCGTGGAGCTCAGTACATTTCATGATTTGCAAACAAAAAGGCGTTCGATTTGCTTGATATTTTTCATAATGTTGAAAGTATATGCATCTTCCTAATGTTCATTCCCAACACAAAAGAATTGTAAAGTATCAGAATTCGGGAATTTATAATAATTTCACATCAACACGACAAACATGAACAATTTGTAGATTAGTCAAATTATACGGAAACACATTTCACACACAAGATATGATGTCATGTATAAACAAGGGATTGTCTATCGTATCTAATTATGCGTCATTAATTACTTTCACATTCATCTTGTGCATAAAATCAAATTTATTTATGAATGTATAAATAATGTAATGATAAAAATGTCTAAAATTTCGGCTAAAAAAACACTTTTTCTCTTTTTTTTTTTTGATTATCTTTTTTTTTTATCATTCATAAATATTTGCAGAATATGTCTTCAACATTTTAGCAGAGACAGTGATAGTTTCAGGAACACAGCTTATGAGAGAACATGACTGTTGATCGTTTACTTTCGCTACGTCATCAATATTTAAGCATTTCTTGGCGACTTCAAAGGGGAGGGGCGGGGGTGGGGTGGGTGGGACTAAAGGCTTCTTGACCATCTCTGACGAAACAACCTCGACTGTGTTCTACATGTGTCCAAGAGACCTCTCTTTGAATGTCACGGTTGGTTAAACTCGGTTGGGACTAAAGGCTTCTTGACCATCTCTGACGAAACAACCTCGACTGTGTTCTACATGTGTCCAAGAGACCTCTCTTTGAATGTCACGGTTGGTTAAACTCGATTATATATTTTTCATTGTAGGGAAGATTTATTCATCAAATAAAAATCATATAGGTAAACAAAAAGCAACCTGTTATTCTCTAACACAATATGAGACTACAAGTAACTAGAATTCATGTTTATTTTTTTAACACAATTTTTCATTATAGATGAGTACTAGGAAAAGTTAATACCATGAGTAATAAGTATCATAGATAGAATAACTAAAAGAAAACTGTGACATATTGTCTAGAACCAATCAAATAGTGCGTTGTATATATTATATTATAGCATATTATAATGAGGTATAAGATATATATAAGGTAAAGAGGTAAAATTTACCCTGTCCATCAAATAGTATAATTAAGAAAGAAAGTGGCTACGAATTTTATGAAATTTTAATGTCCGATATTATATTCCCCCCCAAAAAAGACAAGAGTTTCCAAGGCAATTAAACACGCCATTATTTCAGTTTGTTCATTAACATGTTCATTAACATAAAAACTATAAGAAATGTGAAAACTTGACTATGTAATTCATATTTCAATATATGACTGTACCTCGATCTATATTGAGAAATTCAATGTATTATAAGCTCATGAAAAGATGTACACATTTGACTTTTATTTATACCCCCCCCCCCCCAAAAAAAAAAACGAAGGAAATCCTGTTCATATGACTTCTCGCTATCAATTTTCACACAAATGCATAAATAAAGGTAAAGTAGCATATTTTCTATCGATAAAAATGCAATCAAAAAATTAACGGTGTCTTTGAATAAAAATTTCAAGCTAAATTGACATAAAAAAAGATACTCACCTTCAATTAGCTTTTTACAACCTGTTTTCCCGTGGGTATTTAATTTTCTTCTTTATAATAACGTTGGTATTCTATAATTGCAGTGATATACAATTATGACTTGCTTATACTGTACTCTCTAAATGTTAGGAATACATGTAATTTATATTTCACGTGAAAGGGACGCCATACATTTTTCAGTAAAAATTCATAACACGGCGTTAGTCGTTTAATTTCTTTAAAGTTTCACATTTTGTGAATAGTGCACAAATTAGAAAATTAAGTATATGGAATACTTTAATGGGAAATAAAGACAAACGAAGTGTAGTTATT